AGGAAACGGAAGCCGTAACCGAACGCCGAAGTTCCTGTGCCTTAGTCGTGTTGTTCTGGACTCCCAGTCTGAGGGCCTGGAGGGAAAACCTCGGGGGTGTTGGGCCTTAGGGGCTATTCTCCACCCTGGTCTCCACGGCAAGGAGGCTGAGACTGCACTGTGCTTCGGTCCAAGGCGCCAGGGTGCCAAGTCAAGCGCGATGGGCTGAGCAGTCCGTGCGTGGGCATCTGCATGGCGTTTCCTCGTGATAATTGTTTCTATTTGTGTAGTGACTCCTCCATTCCGAAAGGTCCCACAAGCTGAAGGCTGAGCCCGACTCCAGGTATTCAGAAGTACAAGACCCTGATCCCGAACCCAGTGCCCGGTGTCCTTGTAGTGTGAAGTACTCCTCGGCCAACATGCCCCGCCATGGGTCGGCAGTGTGTATTCAGATCAGCACAAACAACCAGCATGTTTCGTGCTGGCAATCCCTGTAGCAGGGTTCCCAGCTTGGTCCAGAAATCAGCTCGCTTCTTTGTGATCTGATCCCGTTGCTGCGACTGCCAAACCCATTGGTATCCCGCAACTACAGCCAGATTAAGCTGTGGAGTTGTGCACCGTACGTGCAGTAATCGCCCTGGAATCCACGTCACCGTACTGACCTGCTCGTCAGAGAAAACAGATCGTCGAAGAAAAACCGCGAGCCCACTGTAGCGCTGCTTCTCGTCTGCAGTCGTCACGACGATCCACCCTGGCAGCTGCCAGTGACCGTCGGAACGGCCGAGACCATGGTGTGTCTCTTGTAGCACCGCCACGTCTGCGCTGCATCGATGATGCAGCCAGTCTTTGACGAAATCGTAGCATTCACTCGAAATCCCTCCAATGTTATAACTAAGTATCTTGAGACGCGGTTGCCCCTTATGTCCGGGTGGCGGTTTGACTGTGGCCACAGCTGATGATCCGTGACCTGGTCGATGCTGTACACCCAGAGAGTGCGCGCTGCACCATCTGTTTCTGTACCAAGTACCACCAGACTGTTCGGCTCGTTGCCGCGCTCTGCGATACGCATGTTTTCGACTGTTATTCAGGGTAGGACCGGTTCGAGGCCCCTTTCCAGAGTTTTTCCCCCCCGTCGAAACAGAACGTGGCAGGGCCGCGGTGGAACGGGCACAAACCCTCGGGTTTAACTGATCAGCGTCTTCACGTACAATAGCATTTCCTTGAAGCAGTTCGGGGGAATTGGGGCCCACGCGGCCGGGCTGTCGAAGAATCAGAGCTGCCTGTATTCATCATGCAGATAAGAGCACCAGCAAACAGTAAGCATCGCGAAGCCATCAACCCTCACTGTGCCAGGCGCTACGCAACAGCTCAAGCTCCAGCCGAAACCCTTACTAGTAGTAGTAGTCGTCGTCGTAGTAGTAGCAGGAAGAAGTGGAGGCGTAGCAGGCATACAAGAATGCGAGGTTGAAGTACACATAGGGCAGTTTGTGTCCCGAATCAGGGCCGGCCCAAAACTTCAACAAAAAGGTGCTTAACGGTCGACGTTGGTTGTGCTCGGCTCCCCTTCAATGATTGCACACACCGGCTGGACGGCCACCTAGACTACAGTGCTAATGTGCAATGAAAATGGACACCGCAGCACTTCCCTTCACCCGTATCGGGGTGTAGGGTCCCACGCGGAGAAGGGCTGGGACGCGCCGGGTCCCCCCACATTCCACTGAACCCGGTATGTGTCTCACGTACCACCGGGTCCCACTGAACCCGATTTCGGTCCCAACCAGACTTTCGGCACCAATCATTTGGATTACTTGTCGGGGGGCTGCGTTGTGTTCCCATCCTTGCGACCAGGTTTGCTTCCCGTATTACAGAAAGTTTTTGAAACAGTAGAAACCGGAGGAAAAATAGAAATAGTAGAAGTACTGGAAGTCATGGCGGCAGTAGAAGCAACAGAAGTAGAAGAAGTGGATCAGTAGAGGAGGAAGTAGAGTCAGAAGCGGTGGCAGAAGTGGAAGAAGAAGTCGTAGAAGACGCAGGAGAAATAGAAGAGATAGAACAAGTTCCACGACCAAGAGTAGATGAAGCAGAAGTAGCACTAAAGGTTGACGTAACACGAAGAGGTAGTAAGAGTAGATGTGGAACTCGGAGTCGAAGTCAAATGCAAGTAAACGCAGAAGTTCTAGTACCGCATGGGTTTCGGGTTCTCACCATTGGCAATAATGTGGTGGGAACGATTTGTGCTGTTTCCCAAATTCTTGTCGCTCTCTGATTGCCTCGGTATTGATGAATTACATTGCCATTTCGAGTGGGCTCAAAGGTTCTGGCACAAGACAGCGTGGATCGTCCCTTTGCGTACTTGCGCCGCCATGGCACCAGCTTCCTTCGACATTGCCATCATGACTGTTCCAACGATTGCCAATAAGACTGCCAGGATTGCCGTTATGACGTCTTCCTGCCGATTGCCAATAAGACTGCAAGGATTGCCATTGTGACGTCCGTCTTCATGCCGATTGCCATCTAGCCTTCTGGCTGCTGGAATGCCATTGGAATTTCGCTTGACATTGTACTTCATGCCGAATGATTACGAGCATCTGCACCGGACAGTCAAATTCAGGTCGATAAACTCAGTTCCACCGCTACGATCTGACCAGCAGTGGAGGATGGGCTCTCCCCAGTTTTTTCTTACCTGACCTTATATCCTCGATTTGGAGCAAGTTTCCCACACATATGCTGGAGGGTTTACGTTGGTCTATATGTCATCCTACGCTTTATGGCGGCACCGACGCGGGAGATGCGGCGCCGCTCCCTATATGGTACCTGACCACGCTTCCTATGCTTACGTGTTTAGCCAACTCTGGGAGACGGTGGCTCCCAATATGCTGCAGCCGGAATCCTCTGGAACACCCCAACCGACTGTCAGGACTGCAGGTGCGCTCGCCCGCACTTTGCACAGAAGCGCATTCCTGGATTACTAGCAGGATGATTTGTTCTATGCTTCCCCACGCTGGATGACGACAACTCCACCTTATCATGTAGCCCTTTGATTTATTCCACAATGCTGTCTAGGGGAGCCGACGTGAGGCGAACCGGGGGACCGCGGCCTTCCCATGCTCTATGCAAATATCGGTTGACTATCAGGTGCTGCATCTTTTATCGGCGAGTGGTCACGAATGCCCCTTGTGCGTCGGGTGAGCTTCATCAGTGAATATGGAAGGCTCTTTTCATACGGAGTTTTCCCCCACGGTGGCCGGAAAATTTACCCTAGTCCTGCCATCGTCTCACCCGAAAAGGGTAACGAAGAGCCCTGTAGAGACATGCTCATCGTGTATGTAGTTTCCCTGGACTGTTTTCTCATGCCGTATGCCGTATGCTTCCGCCGACTTTTATGTTTTCCCCGGACGTTAGTCCCATTTCAAGGGCTGCTGACGAGTGGTCTCGCTTGTGGACTCGCTCTGCGCGACTGAGAGAGAGAGAGAGAGAGAGAGAGAGAGTGAGGGCTCAAGATTCGGCAAGTCATGCCGCACGGAAGCAGGTATAGCAGTTTTCCCAAAAACATCAAAACGTTCAACATGTGAAATGTTCGAAATGGCACCACCCCGATCAGTGGGCCTTGGAAGACCTGCTGATTGTACCGTTAGATCAAACTGGCAGTTGCAACAGCCGTGTACGCCACCAAGTGTGTGTCAGTACAGGTAAACCCGGAAAGTGGAGATACTCGCTACGTCGACAGACCATGGAACATTCACATCGGTTTTGAGGAAAGAGCGTGCAGTACCGTAGACGACAAAGGCTTTCGTGTCTTTCAAGTTTTACAAAACAGGGTTCGCTTGTTGTTCTTCCAAGCAGCAGGGTGCATTTGCAGAGAGATCAGCTCGAGTGGCATGGTTTCGCGTGGAATGCGTGTGCAGCTTCTGCTTGTGCATGAGTTTGGATACCAGGAACTTGGCTAAAGAAGTAAGCTCATGTCATGTATGTGGTCGGAATGATTGGATGACTGGGGTTGCTCAGCCGCTACACACTGTTCACATGTTCCCCATGGATCAGGGAGCCTTGGTCGGCACACCAAACCCAAACGGAGATTTCCTGCAACATCTCAAAAATCAAATCGCAGGAGAACATGCGTAAAATAGAACATAAGCTCAAATGAATATCGAACTCCAAAACCACAGCCTTGACACCAAAAACCTGTAAAGTTTAGATGCCTTACAAGACTTGAACAAAACCTTAACAACTGTAAGCATTGTTTACGGTGGGTGCAAATTGGCGTTTGTTGCTGATTTTCCGATGCAAGGATGATAGAGAACTTGTGCGGAATATCACTGTATCCCCGTCACTTTGGGGTGCCGAAAACAAGAAGCTTGCTTTCGCTTTGTCAATTATGTTCACACTGGCCTTCGCTTTCGTGCTGAGGAGGTATAGGCCGGCTGTTAGCGAGCTGTTCAAAATCGTCGAAGCAGATGCAACTCCTCCGAGTTTCCCTCCGAGCTTCATGCTTTCGTCTGGGCACGGACACTGGGTCTGCCCCTGCGAATTGCACGGCTTTGTGTTTCTTCTGCAAGTCAGGCACTGGCTTCGCTTACCCCTTCAGACAGAGATGCATGGGCTATGAACCATGGCAGTGCATGTGCTGCAAGACAAACAGTTAGAGTGCTCCCGTCATCGGAGTGGCCTTGAGAACCATGTCCGAAGCCTTCTTGTGCGAGGCCAGATCTCGAAGCGACTAGACGAGCTTCTGTTGCGGACGGAGTGGCTGGAGGCTTGTGCAGCAAAGATGCCACACTAGCTCGTCAACTTGCTGATGCTGGTTTCTTAAGAAAGAGTTCAGATCAATCGTATTGTGGTTTCTGTTCATGTAGCGACGTCCCCGACAATCTCTTTTTACATGAGGAGCTTATATACTCTGATCGGCAGCCATTTTGGTGTAGAAAAGTTTTGGTCGCCCTTTGTGCAGTTGTCGCGGAGTTGAACCACTTCTGCATCTGAAGCCCCGCGATGCCGACACCAAACCGATTCGGCAAACCTGCTACGGCCATGAACCTGCTGCTCACGTACTGCCTTGTGGTCCTGTATGGCTTCGGTAACCAGCTTCAAGCTCCTCTGGAGCCCTTCCTGGTCGAAAGACTGGTTGGCCAGGGTGACACATCGGCGAGTGCTTCGTACGGGCGCTTGCAGTCCCTATACTGGGGAATACAGATTGTCGGTTCTTTCCTTTTCGGCTGCTTGCTTGACAAAGTCGGTGTGCGTCTGGGTTTTGGGCTGAACTTCCTTTGCTGTGCTGCGACGTACTCTCTTCAGTCGGCTGCGGGCAGCATGGCAGCCCTCTATGCCTCGAAGATCCCAGGGATTGGCATGAACGGAGTGTTGTGTGCACAGACAGCAGTAAGTCAGTTTACGGATCCGGGCCCCGAGCGCTTCCAGGCACTGGGGCGACTCACCACAGCCTACACTGTAGGCGGTGTCATCGGCCCCTACTTGGGGGGCCTTCTAGGGGCCAGAGGTGGTCACGGCTACATCCTCGGCGCCAAGGTGGCCACAGGCAGTGCTCTTCTTGCAGCATTCGGCAGCGGCTTGCTGGCATCACCCACCCAGCCCCAGGAGCCCCGAGCCTTTCAGGGCGAGCGGCTGCCACTGTGGCAGAGGCTTGGCACCGTGGCAAACAAGGCGGGTTTTGTGCTTGTTGTGAAGCTTTTAACCTCTGTGGCCAATGCTGTAGCCTCCTCGACGCTCAACCTGGTCTTGAAGAACGAGCTGGGCTTCGCAGAGGCCGATCTTGGTCTGTTCCTCTCAGCGCAGTTCGCTTGCGGGGCGGTGGCCAACGCGGTTTTGCTGGGCCCAGCCAGTCGGCTTCTGGGCGGCCGGCCCAGCGCGGTGGTCCGCAACTGTGTTGCGGCCTTGGCAGTGGGCTATGGGCTGCAGGCAGCCGCCCTGAACGTCGGTGGCCTTATGCAGCTGACGCCCAGTCTTCGGCGAAGCACCTTCATCGGGATCGCGCTCAGTCTAGCCCTCTTCCAATACAGCCTCGCGACGAGCATCACAGCAGAGAGTACCGAGCTCGTACCCAAGGCCATGAAGGGTACCCTCCTGGGCATGGAGCACTGCCTGTTTTCGGCAGCTCGGGCTTTCAGCCCCGCCATTGGCATCGGCATGTTGGACGACTACGGCACCTGGGGCTTGTACGGATCGTGCTCCTCCATTTTGCTGGCAACCTACCTCCTTTGGATCACCACTTACGAACAGGTTGACTTTGCCGCGGGCAAAAGGATCCGCTGAACAGCAGAGAGATGCCAAGTGTGCGGCAAGTGCCAAAGCTTGAATTCACTCCTACCTGCAGGGATGGATATGTTTGCATGACAAGAAACAGGCTTTGCACCCAACTATCGGTTGTGGCCAATCGGTTATGCGGGGGCTGCTCGAACAACGAATACGAATGAGATAGCACACGGGAGCTCAACCAAGTTTCGCTGTGGTCACACCCGATGCATGTTGTGTGCAACATTTGTACAGGTCTGCTTGCAAGTGCTGCCGAGAACCCACTTCGGTTTTGACTGGAAGGGTTTGACGGGAGTATCTCTGCATCAGCTTCGCCTGCGGATATCATGAAGGAACGCATCAGCGAGAGCACGAAAACGGGCAAGTGCGGCAAGAGTCAGATATTTCGCTACGTGCTACACAATTGATTAGCTGCAAGCCTTGTTGTGCTTCGTTAGCAGTTAGCAACAGAGCTGCAGTTCTGAGTGTCACGAATGCTCCAAAGCAGGAGTGGGACCACCATCAGGCCTGCGGCACACAAAGACGTTTCAAAGCAAGGAGAATCTGAAGCCTCGTTCTCGCAGGCTTGGGGAAAGCGGGAAACAGCAGATGTTGCACCATGCGCGGCGGATAGGTTGAGTCCAACGTGTCCTCAGCCTCAACGTTGCGCAGGCCTGAACATCCCTGAAGTGAGTCTCATGGTCGAAGCTGTGCCGAATTCATTGTGAAGTTCTTGCAGTGCTGCATTTGTCTCCTAAGTTGCGCTTTGTGCCGACCGTCTCCGCCCTCATGTTCGAAGTGCCAGGCTCAGTGCTTTCATTGGGTGTCCGTCGGAGTAGTGCATTGGCCAGCAGCCAGGGGGTTTTCGTCGTTTGAGCAGAGTGAGTACCCAGCATTCACTCGACTGCAGGTTCACTATGACCGTTCCTTACCTGAAGTCTGCTTCACACACTCGAACTGGTGTCTGTGACATTGGCTCCAGTAGCTGCTCCAGAGTTACGGCCGCTTCTTGATGCCCGGAGGCCTAGCACACGATGTTGACACTGAAGAGCTGCCGTATTCGGACATTGTAGGGGTCTCAGCACTAAGCTGGAAATGGATCAGGCAATGGCTCGCCCGTGTGGCATCGACAACGAGGCTGCACGCAGAGCTACGGGTTCGGAAAGGAGGCTGCAGTAGGGCTTTATGTCGGAGTTTTGTCGTCCTCGTGCTCTGTGGAAGAGGATGCCTTTGGTATGCGAAGGGGGGATCTACAGGGAAGAAAACGCGATAATGCATCAGGTGCTTCTGATTAGCGAAGAGAGAAGCGTATGACGCGAGTCGAGAGAATTGCCCAGTGTCCGGTGTCACAGAATGCAGAACTGCCACGGGTTGCACTCACAGGATGAGCTTGTCATTGCCTGCCTCCGATGCTTGACGATGGATGCGGTGCAGAAGGCAGAATGGGTCCCCCGCATGCCGGTTTGCATCGCTTGCAGCAAGCTTACCGGCCGCAGTACTGTCATCTTGAAAGTTCCCCCCAAGCGTCGAGATCCTCGGAGCGGAGCCCCTCCTGCAACTCATCTCACCCTGTGGCGAGGCCAATTCTGGTCATCCTGGCACTCCCATGGCCCGGTGCCCAGCTTGCAGACCCCCCGAAACCTCAGAGAGTGCGGCAACCCAGGCCATGGCTCCCGTTGGCTATACTTTGTGGGCGAGGCCTGGCCTTCTCTGAATCTCAGGAAGAGTCGGGCTGCAGTGGAAGCAAGCCCTCTTCCAGGAGCCTGAGCTATGATCCAGAGGACCCAAATTGGCGGAACCGTGACCGCTTTGTGCTGTCCATGGGCCCGGAGACCCAGAAGGTTTTGGCTTCCGGAAACTCCATGATACTCCATGCTCGAAGTGGCCCGACAAAGGCGCGAATACCAGGGAGGGACTGATGCCCTGCGCATACCGAGTGCATACCATCGCGAGCTCTGGTCATGTTGCCACCCCACGACAGACGCGAATATTTCTGTTTCGACATGGTGTCTTCTGTGTTCCGTTTCTTGTTTACCGAGCCTCTACATTCCTCTTGGGCGAGAAACCAAGGCCATGCCTGCATGCTGCAATACGGCCTTCTCCACTTAGCTGGCGTGAAGAAGGTGCGGGGTGCAGACCGATCTAGGATCCCTCTTTGTAGCACAAAGCAGACATCGCAAGCCTTAGCATGCTTGGCCCCGAAGCGGTCGACGTAGCTTCTCTGGATGTGTTTCTGTCGAAAATCTGTCGAAGGAGTCAGGTGACCTGGCAGTTTCCCTAGATGACATCAAGGACGTTTTGGGGAGAACTTGCGCATGGTGTGGTGTGACACGCTGTGAAGAGCAAATGCATCAATCAGAGTCCCACTCGGCCCTGCCACCAGAACTTCCGGCAGTTCGGCTCCAGCTGCCCGGGCCACCCTGAGTTTGGCCCAGACCTTAGGATCTGCGCTTTATGCTTGAGCACTGCAGCCTCAAGCTGCCGGTGGCGTCTCCGGAACATCTGGAAGTGTGGTTGTAGGCTCCCATGGTGACAGGAGCGACAGAAACTTCACCGACCATGGCCATGGCTGTGTTTGTGCGGATCTACAATGCCTGGGCAACGCCAGGTGAGACAGTGGGTGTCGAAGTGACCACCGGTCCCCTCGGTCAGGGCGTGGCGACCAGCGTAGGCGGCCGGACCTGCGCGGATCGGTCAGCTGAGAGCTTGTGAAACTCTTCAGATCTCTGCTACACCCTCTTTCATAGACGATTCTCTCCGCTGACTGAGTATTTCAGACCATCCCACAATCCCGCTCCGAATGGAACAGCCCGTTTGTTTCGTTCAGTCTTTCAAACCCTAACCGATGCAGAGAGCAGGCATGGCGATCGCCTCCAAGTGGCTGGCGGCGAACTTCAACAGGTTGCTCGACTCAGAGCAGTTGGGTTCCGCTCATCGGTTGACTGTCTGTCGTCCAGGCGTGCAGCCGATCTAGTTGGTCAGGCTTCGGTGAAAGGCATGTTTATCACGTGCATTCGGCATGATCTGTTGTTGTTCATGCTTTTGTATGCACGAGATGTGATGTTCCTGCTCGAACATATTACATAGGACATCGGACCGGAAAGGACTGCTTGGTCTTAGAGGGAAGGCCCGGGATGGTTTGTCATCTCTTTGTTAGGCAGGCAGCTCGTCAGGAACTTGCGGCAGTTGTCGGTTGTCAGCACAGGGACTGAGGAAGCTTGCGGCAAGAGTTAAGGCCCGGCTTCGCCCTCTTTGACTATGATACCTTCGCCCTTGCGGGCGACGGCTGCTTGCAGGTGTCGTCCTCAGTCTGGGAAGTAAGAGACAAGCAAAGAACTTGAAGTCGTTGTGTGCATGGCGCGAAAACTTGCAATTGTGTGATTTCAGACTCTGTTTGGAGATGTCTCCTCACGGCAGGAAGGCGTCGCGTTCGAAGCGGCTTGCATTGCAGGCGCTAGGGTGGTGGCAGCCAGGCAGTCAGTACACTTATTCAATAAGTCTTATTGCTGGCATTTCAGATTCTCGTGCTCTGTCATGTCCGGAACTCTGGGTGTGCAATGTCTGCAAACAAGAAGCAGCAGCACCTGACACCATTGCGCAGGGCATCTCAAGCTCGGCAACCTTTGCCTCCTGTCTGCAGTTTCAGTGAGATCGATGTGGTTCAGAATTTAGGAAGATTGCATTTCGTGCACCGGATCCAAGATAAATTGAATAGCCACTGGCGTGCTGTCTGCCATTTCGCAACAGTACCCCTTGATGGGCCATGAAGGCTGGATCTGGGACAACAACGGGATCACCATCAGCGGAAGCGCCGCGTCTGCCTGACATGTGGTGCAGCGAAAATTGGAGTTGTGACGGCTCCCACTTCGGAGAGCAACCACTCACAACAATCACAAGTCTTTCCGGCAGCGCACCGTCAGTATCCGTCAGTCTCAAATAGTCACGCGTTCTTGCCTGTGAGAATCTTGTGACAGGTTGTCGACTTCGGAAGACATCCCTGCACGTTTCCGTGCTTGTGGCTGGAATGTCAGAGCGGTTGAAGATGCCAATGACGTGCAGGCCTGCAAATCTTTGATAGGGACTTGAGCACCACCGCAAGTGCTCGTGTGCGCTGCAGTTTCCGTGCTCGCTTGTTCCATGCCTTCGGTGAGGCTGCATTTGACTTCTTGCTGCGTTTCTCGGTCTTCAAGTTTAAGCCAGTGTGTATTTCGCCCTGAAGCAGTTATTCAAACGCTTCAACACTCTGTTCGATGTTTGATGTTGACGTGTGACCTGCTCACACCAGTGCACCCGTGATGGTTTCTTGCATTTCGTGAACCTCGACCCACATGATCCTTCTTGAATGGTTGTCACGTCAATCTGGCAATTTACGCCATTGGGCCTTATGTCGACAGGCGCTGGAATCGGCGTTCTCCTGGATCAAGCAAGGGCGTGGGCTAAAGCACCAAGATGCACCAAGCAATGATGCAAAGTGACACCCACAGAAGAAAGTTTTTTGCCCGACTGCAAACGATGCGCAACACATGCCTCCAAAGCCTGTTTGCCTCCCAGTGCCGAGGCAAGATCGGCCGACGCTCCTCGTGGTTCATTCCCGCATCGCGTGGGGAGCCCCGACGAAGCAGGTCGGCAACCGCAGATGCTTCGTCCATGCCCTGCAAACGTGTTTCAGGGTTCTCACTACGCTCACGGCAGTCCCCTTGGGGATGAGGAAGTCTCGGCCGCAGCCTCAAGACCAGGAGGGCCAGGTTCCCTGTTGTGGAGGTTTGTGCGATTCAGTTTGTAAAGAGTGCATCATCCTCCCGGCACTGTTTTTGCAGTCGAAATCGCACAACATGTGCAGCATCGTATCTGCGTTCTCTGCGATTTTTCAGGTCGCGCTTTAGCCCCACATCGCTCAGAACTCAGACACTTTGTTCCGATACCAGGCTGCCAAGAGCTTCTACAACTGGCCGAACGAGAAGTTCCTGGTGCCCCGACCGTTCGAGTCTGTACAGCTTAGAAAGTGTTGCTAGCAGTAGTCAGCCTTCTTCTCAACATCCGGAACATGCAAAAACATGCATGCAGCGCCCTGAAGTGCCGGAAAATGGGAGGTGCCAGACGAGGTGTGCCGACATTTCCGTGACTTGGTATTACCGCTGGCGGCGTTGACTTTCAAGTTTCATGTTCTACGTGTCGAGTCCAGCATGAGACGTTGCGATTCTGGCCTGAAGGTAGGCAGCTGGCACGAGGAACCGAGAAGCACAAGGAGCCGCAGGGTCAGGCTCAGCTCAGCTGCGATCTAGGGTATGGCCGTTTAGCCCTCTGCCCAAACATTGCGCCGCACTTTCACAAGTGCCTCGAGTACTGTGTTAACTCGTCATCAACCCTGAAAGTCGTAGACACTTTCTGTTTTTTTTGGCTTGCCTAAGGATCGGCGGTTGCATCCGTATCGGCACCCCTGATAACCTCCATGTTCGGCCTGCATCCCAACACAAACGCGCACATGCCAGCACCCGGGGCAACGTTCACATTCTGACTGCATCCTGATGGCAGAGTATCCCTGCCCGCTCCGGTGATAGATAGCGTTCATGCTCGGACTGCATGCCAATGGGAAAGCATCTCTGGCGTTAACCCTGATGACGTCCTTTTTCGAATTGCAATTCATTCGGAAAGCATCCATGCCTTTGCCCCTACTGTAATCCCATGGAATCGAAATGAATGGAAGCAGGACACTGTACCAACAGAAATCTCATGAGACGTAAGCTGAATAGGATGCTAGCAATCCAATAAGCTCATCGGACTCATGTCTTTTAGACCTTCCTTCACGGTTTCGAGGTCTGTTGGGATGGTTCTGTTTACAAAACCCATCCCAAAGTTTCGGCGTCCCGTTAACCTACGCCAGAGAGTTTCGGCACAGACCGTGGCGTTAAGCCGAATCGGGGAAGTGGTGGAGGGTCAGCAGGAAGAAGCCCATTCAGGTGCCAATAGCCAATAGCCACATCTGTTGCTTGTTGCCCTCAACTTGCCGACAGTTTGGTTTACGGACATTAGTGCCAAACTTGAATGAATCAGTCATGGGATGTTATTGGGTAGCACTGTTCGTCGCAGTGAATGCTGGAATGCAGCCTTTCAGATGCAGCAGGCAGGAATGCAACACCGGTGGGTGACTTGCAGTATAAGCTTTCTTTCAAGTTCGTGAAGCCTTGAGTCTGATTCGCGAGGAAACGCTAGCTGAACGTGCGGGCTTGTCTCATCAGAACTCACTGAATGAAAGTATCCAGGACTGGAAAAAACTCCTCGACAACTACAAGACCAAATACCCGGAGGAGGCTCGAGGGCAGCGGGCCTGGAGACTCCGGGGATTGATCTGATCGAGACAGAGAAAGCTGCCTCAGTTCCATTGCATGGAGCCTGGCCTGCCCTCACGATTCCGTGTAGGCCCCAAAGCCAAACCAGGCCGTCCTGAATAATGGTTCAGAGGCCAATGCATGCCCTACACTTGTCGGCCCAATTCAGTCTGTTTCTGAGGACGGGGTGCGTGACTCGTAGCTGAAATCTGCTCAACTGAGCCTGTGCAGGGCGAGCGCCTTGAGCGGCTCTTCGGTGGTCAGCTACCCAAGGCTGGGCTCAAAGCCCTTCCCCCATGTTCCCCAATCTGCCAAGCGGCCGAATCTTCGGTGAGTAGCAGGCCCTTCCAGGTTTAGGATCGGCAGGCTTGGGGCCCAGGGACTCAACAACAGGTGTGGCAGGGTAACGATGTCCTGTAGACTGTAGCAAGAACTTGTCTAGCAGACATGGCGCCTAGAGTCATTGCACTGAACTCTTGTGAGATAGTGTTGAAAAGTCGAGCAAAGCGTTGGTTGCACACGCCCCCTCCGATGGAAGTGGTGGTTGCAGGGCTGGGACGAGCACTTCGAGGCCTTCCCTGCGGCCATGCACTCGGAGAGTGGGGTTGTGCTTCTTTTGTACATGTGATGGACGATTCTCTTGCAGACCAGCCCGTTGTGGGGCAAACACTCGCCCGCGCAAGGACCCGAAGGGTATGGCGACCAGGCAGTCCAGCAGCATCTGCCTGAACATGGTTGGCAAAGGCAGCTGGGCCCGTGATCAGGGAGGGAGGGATGGAGGGAGGGAGGGAGTCCTGAAACAAACCCCGCAGCATGCCAAACCCCTAAACCATAAGCCCCACATCCTAAACCCCAAACCCTAAACCCCAAACCCTGAACCATGAAGCCTAAACCCTAAACCCCTTCAGGATTCGAGGTTTACCAGGTGACATTTTGGGAAAATTTGTAAACCAGGTTCCCCATCGCAGCTAAAGGCTTAGGGTTTAGGGCTTAGGGTTTAGGGTTTAGGGTTTAGGGTTTAGGGGCACCCTAAACCCCACACCCTAAACCAACCTGAAACCCCTAACATTAAAACATAATGTACAGCAGAAAATCGGTGAGGGGCAGAGCCCGCACTCCACATATCACCGTGCAAAGAGAGAGCGTGGCCCTCTCGACTTATTTGGGTGGGTTCGCCCGGCGGGCCCCGATTATCGGCTTAATCTGAGGTGTCCCATGGCTCGTTGGTGGCTCCGCCGATCTGGCCACTGGGCGCAAGGGCATACAAAATTCGCATTGAGCCTTCAGGGTGCCCAGGGTGATGATTCATCAGTGAGGTGGTTTGGGACTATTGTATGCAACGTGTGTTGAGCCTGCGCGGCCGAACCCCAGTCTCAATTGCACACTTGAATGCCGTGAGTCGAAACAGCAGCCCTGAACAAGAGGCTAAACCAAACATGCTGAGCTGGGCAGTCATGATTACCCCGACTAGGCCAACAGCTGTGGGACAGTGCTACGTGGCTGCAGTGAAGACAGGGAGGTTCGCTCGATCGCAGCTGCGCCCTTGAACGGCAGTCGATCTGCATGTAGGCTGCTCCCAGACTCCCAGCGCTTTTCAAGCAGTAACGATGTCCTGGAAGGCTTAAAGATATGGGCAACCTCATGTGCCTTGGAACGATGACTCATTGTTCGCAATTTCTGTTTCAGTTCTTGTAGTGAGATCTCCGCTGGAGGCTAAAGCCAAGTTGCACTTCCATGCAATCAGTTGCTGACGGATTCACAATCACAGTGTCAAGAAGCAGAGCCCCTATTGGCAGCCACGGCTCGAGGTTCGCCCATGCATGTGTGGATAGTGTGCCAGATCTGCTCCGTAATAGTGTCAGGCTAAAGAGTGGGTGTAGTGCCAAGTCGTTCCCTGCAGCCACGCTCGACGGAGGTCGTTGCAGAATTGTTGTCACTTGGTGCCCATGTAGCTCCGAGCGGTTCATTGTCCGAAGTGATTGTGGTGCTGAGCTGGGACGTCAGTGTTCTTGCCTCTGAGGTCGGGCAGTTATGCTGGCAGCCACTCAGTTGAATCATTCATGCATAACCTAAATTGATCGACGCGACGTCACGAGCGTTGACTTTGTGGAAAGATAGCTAAACGGTATGTTTCGGCGCAGTGTCATGAACAGAATTGCGCTGTTCTTTGAGTCTTTGACTCTTTGCGGACGCCGCGGCCACGAACCGACGCCACGGTAACACGACGTGTAAATGCTAAGCATCTCTTAACGATGTCTGCACTTGCAGTTTCAGGTGATGCATCTGAGTAGCTGCTTGCGCGAGCCTGGCTCCTGGAGTTGAAGATGTCAGGAAATCTCCATTTCGGCATCCGCGAGCATGCCATGGGCTCCATCGTGAGCCTTGACTCTCTACCCAGTCTGCTACCGTAAATTCTAGGTTCTGAGGTGGCTAAGGTGGCTAAGAAGCTGCGGTGTTCCTCATCATGTTCTGAATGTCGCGAATTGCTGCTGGAAGATGCCATCTTTCAAACAGTTTCATCACTTGAAGTCTGCATTTGTGCGTGTCGTATGGCCGCTTTAGGCAGGCGTATCACATAGTTCGAAAAGTCTCGTCTCAGTTCAATTGTTCATGTCGGGTACCCAAATTCCTAGACTCTTCGCCTCTCATTATTGAGATGAGACCTTCCAGCAAGTCACGTAGCATTGGAACTAGCTGCTGGACGGGCACTCTAGAGGCCACATGCAGCAGCTCCCTTGTCCGTATCCTTTATCCAGAACCCTAAGCCCGAAGCCGAGCAGCAGCCATCAGGAACGGCTTGGCCCTCTCGAAGTTGCGACCATTCTGCTCGACCTTCCTGGCACCTTGTGCATCATGCGGGTTGTTCTTGTTTTGGATATTCAGGCCGAGCGAAGAAGGCAGCTGCTCGTCGGACGGACAGCCTTTTCCAAAACCTGAGGCATTCAGCGACTACATGAAGCCACCCCTCCGACTGTCCTCGATGATGCGAATCCCCTGCACTTTTATTTTTACGCACGACTCCATAGGCACGGCTGGGGAAAACTAAGTGCATTTGGCAGAGCTCTTTTTAGGAGCTTGGCTTCATGCTCTCCCACGGGAGGTGTGGGCGAGGATGGTCCAACTCATCAGCCAGTGGTGCCTAAGCTGCTCTATGTCACGTGGCATGCTGACACGGCCGCGCGGGTGCAGGCTGCTCGCTTTCAGAGTCGTGTGCTTGACCGAACAGACGGCATGCGGCAAGGAGCACCTGGATGCGCTGCGGGCACTCCCCGGCATGATGGTATTTCGCCCTTGTGACACCCGGGCTGCAGTGAGTTACAACACCAAGAACGCAAGTCGTTTTGACCGAAAGTGCAACTTTTTGCAAGACAGCGACCAAAGGGTAGCACCTATTTACAGGAAGCTACGAAACGAGCAGTTGATCATGAAGCCTCCAGCAAGGATGCCAACGAGTGTTTGGAGATGTGGAAGCACATCATGGAGGTACCGCGGGGATTCCACGGGGGCAAAGTCGATTTCTCATGTCGGTTCCGTATCTTGCTTGCTCTAGCCTCCAGATGCAGCCTGGTTGCTCTTCTAGTACTATTCGCAGCAATTCTAACCGGATCTAGCGCTCTGAGTCATGAACCCCGATTTCTTAAAGGTTCTGAATGCTCTCAGTATCAGGGTCACAGTCTCACGTCATACAGTAACCCTTATCATCACCGGTGTACATTTGCAAAGGCCTTGTATGCAGGTGGTAAGTACCAATCTCCAAGACATGCCAACACTTATATTCCATATTCAGGAACGAAGGCTCTGAAGTTGCTGGCTGCTGGCTCATCACAGCCCAGGAGAACAGTCTCGTGCCCGTTGCAGCCATCCTCTCCCGGCAGTCCCTGCCCACACTCGATCGCGAGAAGTTTGCATCGGCATCTGGCCTCCACAAGGCTCTCGGGTTTGAAATGCATTGTTTGTTTTCCGCGCCGCTCTGACCTTGCATTGAGGGCGGCTACAAATTGGCGTGCTCGTGCCTGGCCGGCAAAACTGATCCAGACTGCCGCAAACGACAGGCTTAAGCCGACAGGCACATCAGAGTCTGAGTGGTATCATGAGTCCAAGCTTGATCTGCGACAGGGCGTGTCTGTCGCTTGGCTGAAGGTCGAACGGCGGAGCTCCCGATGTGATTCTCATGTCCACAGGCTGGCTGGATCGTGTGACAAGTGGGCCGTGGCTGCCTGCCGTCGAGACTGTTGCTGCAGATTCGAGCGTTTCTGCAGGCAGCGAGGTCCACCTTATGCTTCAGGCTGGACCTGCAGGGAACCAGCAGCCTGAAGGGTCCTCTTCGCGCCTGGCTTGCCCCAGCGGCACGTTGCTGGGAGATTTGATTTGCGGCCTCGGCTCCACTTTCTTGACCATCTATCGCTGATGCAGGCAGTTGCTGCATCACTTGCTTCCACGCGGTTTGGGCTCTGCTATGCCCTGCTGGTGTTTCAAGCCGGGTCGCAAGGTGACCAATAGCCTGGTGCTGTCCCAAAACCTCAAGCGACCGCAAATCCGGCATCCCTGACATCCCCGAAGCAAAAGCTGCCGCTCCTCCTCCACCGCCTCCCCCGGCTGCGGCGGCAGCGGCAGCAACAACAGGAGACCCAGCCGAAGACCAAGATGCGGTCTCCGCAGACCGCTGTTGCTGATGCGGATGTGGTGATGATATGTGATGATAATGGCGCTTTCGATGATGAGCAGGGAGCAGCCGAGCCCCCCGACATCTTCTTATGTCAGATGAAGCACGCCTGTCTTTCGCCCATCCTATCTCATCCTGCAGTACTAGAGATGTACTGTGATGGTGTAATAATGATGGTGTACGGCATCTTGAGCTGGCCAGCGCCGGAGAGGCACACGATGCATTGACTGCTGTTGGCGTCGAAGTCTGGCTGTGGCCTAAGATGCCGTCGACGATTCAGTGGGCAACAGCACATCAACCTGAGTAGTTTCAAGTTCGTCACCAGTGGCATGATGGCGCACGGTCCTCATGATTCATGACTCATGATCTTGCTGTATGTGTCGCCCTCGCCCTTGCAGGACTGCTTTTCTTGCTTTCATGTGTGCTGTCTCGGTAATGTAAGCTCATGACGATCGTAGTCTTGAATCCTCGATTGTCGGTCTGCTGTGTGCATTTGTCCGGCTACACGCTCCCATAGGACGGTATCACGGAAAGGCTGTTTGAAAGAAGCATGTAGTTGGCAATTCAATCTCGATGTTATTTTGTTGAGCTCGGCGGCGCGTGTCAGCGAGGTCATTGAGCATGCCTTCGATCGAGTTGTTCAAGAGCCAGAAAGGGAACTACATCGAGAGTGCCCCTTGGCATGTACATTTCATGCCCTGTAGTGTGTTGCACATCATGCGGGTCCACACTTTCGCCGGTAATCCTGATGTAGTCATTGCAACCGTTGTCCTTTAGTTCCAGGTTCTGCCCAGCAGCTGCAGAGCACGGGTCTCCATCGAAGCCAGCAAGGGCGACTGCTGGGGACTCCGAGCTGCATTGACTACTGTGATTTCGGATCGAGCGCATCTCTGGTGGATACGGACTTGGCACACCTCATATTGCAGTCTTGTGCTGTTGTGAACATGCTAAGAATGCCGGCACTGCATGCATCTAGGAGTGGACCATGCTCCGAGAGCTCTGCAGGAAGTCTGTCCCAGTTTTTGGGTACTCTTTGATACCAAAACAATCAAAACACCAGCGCTGAATTCACAGACAGTTCCTAAACGTAGCCGTGAGACGTAGCTGCTAGGCACAATGCTGAGCTCCTGCATTGTAAGGAAGCCTCATTGGGGTGGATGGAGAACATGCAGCCGTGCAGCAAGCACCTTCATAAAGCTATGCTACAATGTTTTCTGATTTACCCAAAAGAGCCAGCGTTTGAAATCTGTTTGTCGCAGATCGTTTCTCTGTTGCTGTCCGTTCGTGCACGGATCTGCATGGCTCCCAGCTGCTGTGCCCTTGGCAAGGTGGGAATGAATGGATTTGGGGCCTCGGGCCCTATGGAGAGGATTCAGATGGAGAAGGGCTTTACCCTTGAAGCTGTCGTCGATGCAGCCAGGCGCACAATGTCGAAGACCCATCCCAAGTCAAGTCAGCTCGCAGATCCTTCCTTCGGAGTTGCGAGGCGTGTGATGAAAGAGCAGGCGAACACGAAGCTCCATGCCAACTCGAAGAAACGTGAAAGGACCTGCTCTGCTATAAGCAGCAGCATGCAATCTTCTCGAGTTGTCTTAGGCTTTTCTTCGACTTGCACTGATCTCTGGGAGACTGAGTCTGGACTTATCGTGCCCTGGAACGCTAGAGAGACACCAGGCGATTAAAAGTGCAACGTGTTTCCCAGCTAAGTAATGTAAGGCCAGTGTCAAGAAAGTGTAAGCAAGAGTAAACATGACTGGCAACAGTGTCAAGTGAGCGTACACGAAGTGAATATACACTGGAAGACAAGTGCAAAACAGGTGTGAAACACATGTAAGAGGTGTAAAATTGCTGCCGCTTTGGTTGTTCTACGCACAAAACAAAATGTTACATCCTTTACCTATTTTGTCTAGCTCCTCATCCAGCCCTGTCCTGGATTCGGTTCTTTTCGCTATAGTTGCTAGGGAAACAAGCAATTCGCGGAGGGACAGTGCGCATAGCTGCTCATGCAAGAAAACAATTCAAGTGCGTAACAGGTCCGCTGCATCGAGGGAGAGGTGGTAACGTCTAGTGCTGCTATCGGTCTTTTCCGCATTGTTACCATTTTCAACACTATTTCCCGAACCAGTAACTGTTGGGGTCCTCGCCTCAGCAGAAAATAGGGCACGCCACGGGGTCGGATGGGTGGCACGTGCCTGGAAAATGGGGGTCCGCGGTGTCGGCTGTTCCTAGACTGGATGGGTGGCGTGAGACTGAGCTGCAGTTCGGAACCAGGTTGGTGGTAGTAGCAGCGGATGGGTGGCACTGCCACATATGTGGGAGCTGATGGAGCTGAGGGCCCGCATACGGCAGCTTAGGCCCGCTGGGTCGGATGGGCAGCATGCGCCGGGATCGGCGTTGGCGTTGCAGGGTGGATGGGTAGGCATCTGCGGATGGATCGCTTGCGGCACGGGAGGGGTTGCCTTCTTAGATAATGCAGGAACACCCTACATTCCAGGTGGAACAAAAGAATCCGACGCGGCCGCTCAAAACATTGCCAATTCCTAAATGAGCACCGGGAAAATGCGTTATGGAGGATTGCCAAACAAAAGCCAAAGCGACATTAAAGCATGATCCATTGGACACGGGGTGGACTATCCTCATGTTGGCCTCGAAGTGACAACCTACTCTCGGTGTTGTCGCTCTGTGTGTGTGTGTGTGTTTGTGCGTGTGTGCGGGCGCTACGGATGTTGTGCCATGTTGCTTCCGGCTTCGCAAAGACCATCAGTGGTTGAGGGGAAAGCTTTTTGGTCATGTCATGTCTCTGAGACCCGTCATGACAGGGGGAAAGTGTTTTGGGGCATCAGGACCTTCGACAGAGAAGAGGCATCAGCACATCGGCGATCATTTGAGCCAGGCACCCGTAACATCTCTCGCAGCATATTTTCCCAGCATGCAAGACCGAGTAGATCTGCCAGGTAGCACTATTTTCTGGCAGCCCAAAGCCTTCTGTCTGCCAGCCGCTGATTTCGCAGGCACCCGCTGCTGGGCAAAATGTCCGTCAACAGTCGGTCTGACCTTGCCAGCACGAGTGCACGTACAGATGATTCGTCGAGTCTAGCCTCCAGCGTCGCTGGGAAGCAGCCTTCTGCAGAAGAAGAGCCCGTCAGGTGCTTCAGATTTCGCACTTCTTTGAGTACAACGTCTCAGCCGGCCGACCTGGAGTAACGTGGTTGAGGAAGAATTAAACCAGTGCGCCTCGGAAGGAATTCTGGGCGGACTGCCTGCACAGTTTTCAAAGGACAATCCTTTGTTCCCGGGCAGGAATAGATGTTGAAGCCCCGAGGGCCAGCATCATCATCCTGCATCCTTTCCGTGCACATAGTGATGGGGTAGCTCCCTGATCTCGCACATCATTTAATCTCCATGCGAGTCACTTGTGCTGCATACAAGACTTGAATGCGGTTTAGCTTGAGCTGCCGCCGGATCCATACACTCTGGCGGGAGCATCGCATCTTCAAAGACACTAACATGGGATCAAAAGTCTGTGTCGGTCGTCTGAGTGCTGCTTAAGGCCGTCGATGGAGCTGTAGAATGCTGTAGATGTATCTGATTGTACCTGTATCTTCGAGCCGAAGTCATCAGCAGGCCAGCCAGGGACTATTAATTAAGCTTCACTCCTGGTCGTGGCATGCTTGCTGGAAGAGCCTTGTTGCGGACCATGCATTCCAGGACCCATCCATGCAGAAGCCTGAAGCAGTACATTTGCAGCCTCCAAAACTGTCAAAGGGGCCAAGGCACAGATTGTTCTACTCGATGGTTCTACTCAAAAAATCTTACACGAAGCTGAACCAGGGGTGAGCACTACACTAGAAGCCATCTGCCACACAGCAGATATTATGCTCATTTCTGCAAGGGCAACGGCAAGGAAGGCATGCGACACGCAAGCACAAGCAACAGAAACGGGGAACATCTAGCACATGACAAAAGAAGGAACATAGGTCACCGTGGTGAACCTCAAAGAAGCATCAGTACAAGACTGTGGCACGGCTCAGTGGACGGAGCTACAGACTACAAACGATACACGCTGCGCATCTACATTGCTGAATGTATTCAAGCTGCTCAGCACGTCTTGTCCGGCTCTTCAGAAACAGACTGCGGACCCGGTTCTCGCCAATCCCTGCACTTTCTCCGCCGGAGCGGTTGGCAGTACCTCCTTTACCCTTGAACCATCCGTTGATGATCTCCGCATTGTCCCAAGTCCTCAAGACCAGGCCTCTGATGGGCGCCGAGTGTAATTACTGCCTGCCCGCAACCGCCGGTAATTGCAGCCTCAACAGGTGGCGAGAGCTAAGCACGCACCTAGCCGAAAGAAAAGATCATGTGAATCTCGTCCGTTGGCGGATCCTTGTCTTGAAGCTGGGCGTTAAACAGCAGAAAACAGGAACCAATGCACATGCGCAGCAAAGGGGATCCAAGCTCGCGAGTCTGGCATGAAGGTCAGCCTATTCAGAATATGTCAGAACAGTCTTGCAGCAGAAGCAACACCCTTCCGAGTCCCTCAGACTTCGTAGGGGCCTGCAGGTGCGCTGCCCGTGGCGCGACTTCGCAAAGCATGGAAAGGGGCACGAGGCAGCACTGCAACGTACAGTACGACTACAACCCTAGGTTACTGGCTGAAGGTGTCCAGCAACCTCGGATCCCCTCAAAACCAGGCATCAACTTCTTGCGGCTCTTCGCGGCTTGCTGCTTGGAGGTCCCGTGGCATCCCCTGGCAGCATTTGGCTTGAGGAGAGTGCAGCAAATTACTTTTCACAATTGACGGCCGTGACGTGCTGCTGATCTTGTCGCAGCCTTTTTGGCCATCGAATCTTCCGACATCCTTGCACCGCGACGAGATGGCCTCCTTCTTCTCCGGACACCAGGAGTTCGCGATTTCGGAAAAGCGCGGAGCTTCCGGTTGTGCGGCTTGGCACTGATCGTTCATCGGCCAGCTCGCCGTCATGAGGGATCGTTGCAGACTCAGGCACCAGTGGACCCCGAGCTGGTCGCCTCGATCCGCAAATGCGGACTATTGCGTCAAGCCCCGCTGAACCTGAACTTCGCCGAATCCATGCTCGCGAAGCTCGGCAACTGCCTGGAGGACGTGGGGGAGGGGGGGAGGGAGGGTCCCAGTCCAACGCTTCTTGGAGTCTTTTTCGAGCATGTCAGACGACAAACCACTGTCGCGCGAGCAGATGCGAACAGTTTCTATTCTTCTGTCTGAGTCTACTACCAGCCTAGTGCTGCTTTGTATCAGGAGTTTCGGAAGCCGGTGCTGTCGGAGGCCGCAAGTGGGTGTGTTTGACCTTGAAGCATTCGGCATCTGGGTTTACCCCTCCCACCGGCCACGCAGGACAAGAAGCTGATGCTGAAGCAGGACCTGACAGATGCCCTGCTGGAGGTGATCAGGATGACGCCTGAAGACTTTGAAAAGGAGCTGGAGCAGATCCCATGGGAGCGGTACGAGGATGCTCACGCCCTCCCCATCTTCGTGCGGAATCTCATCAGCGCCCAAAAACTCGATGTCGGTCCACAGTGGCACAAGTATGCCCGCACCCTGCCAGCCTTCCTACAGAATCTCATCGGCGTCCCTACGAAACTGGCACCCTTGGCTGAAGAGCTCGCGAAGAGGATTGCAACTGTCGCAGGCGGCACCGGCGACCAGGCTGCACCATCTTCACGAAGCTGTTTTGATTCTGTTGCCCCTCTGGGTCAGCTTGCTTTACTACTTTATCTCGCACTTCACTCTTGCAGTCGCTCTTTCTCTGTGTCTGGAATAGCTCACAGCCATAGTCGCCCCATCCAAGCAAGCGTCGCATGCCAGGCATGGGACAAGGACAGTCTTCTGCTTTCGAAGTCAAAAATCTCTGCCTTTCTCTTCTCTGTCTCTCTCCCTTACCTCTCCCTCTCATGTCTATAGACTTGCACCCGAGATGCCAAGTTCATTGTAAGATCCAAAGCTTGGTGCTCTCCTGCTTGATGACTCGTGCTGCATCTTTTGGGATGGTTTTTGGGGTTGAAACCGTGCTCCCAGACAGTCCTTCGAAGTCGCTACAGTCATCTAAAGACCGCTTTTCTGCCTCCACGTTTCTCTGCGATAATGTTGTGCACATTTTGCGGTGCGAGTGGTGTTGCCGTCCCCCAACGCGCGTTCCCACCCGATTCTCTTCGTACTTGCACCTTCCCTAGTCGTGTGTTCTGGGTGCCAATCGTGTTCCCGCAGTGTCCGAGGTGTGCCTGTTGGGCTCGTGTGGTGGTTTTGGGACGGAGACATGTGCGCCGGGGGGCTTCGCACTGTCGTCGTGGTGGCAATTAAGGTACACTGACATTGGGGATGTAACGGGTTCGTGAAGGCCGTGACGTCTGAGAAGCAGACCAAGTGTACAGGATATATGCTGAAGCATGAGACGAGTAAATCGCCGTGGGGGCAAACGATTGTTTCACTGTGCATTCATGCAATGACGGTGGCTAAACGTTGTGGCCAGGAGCCACATGTGGGAGTTTACCTGTCGGACCAATGCTCAGCCTGCAGGTAGCGAATGCAGCTAGTGGCATGTTCGGTGTGCATGCTTGATTCATCGGGCGGTCTGGTCTAGTAAGTCCAACTGAGGTGACACCACATGCAGACTTGTATACCTACAGCATATATCAGCATATGAAGAAGCTAAACTGGCGTGTTTGCCGTATGTATGCACATGCTGCAGGTCGACAGGGCTTTCAAACTCGCTCCCTGAAGGGGTGTGGTGCTCAAAGTTTCAGGTGAACCTTCATCTTCGATATCCAACGTGAGCAATTACATTGTTCCTGACGGCCAGCGCTACGATCCGAAGACGATCTGTTACATCAAGGAGGCGCGGATCTACACCGGCAACGGTATCGGCGCAGAAGAGTACCAAGCCTATGCAGCTTTCTGCAAGGGCCACCAAGACATGGAGAGCCGGATCATCCCTTTCTTCAGCAAGCTGGCGGCAGCCGAGGATTCGCGTCGCAGGATGACTCCATGTCCGCCATGTCTGGAGCAGGGGCTCCATCCCTTCGCCTTGAGCATCTTGATCCGTCGTCCGCATACTGCCAACATGGTTGGACGTCTTATGCGCATCGCCGCCGCCAAGCAAGTTTGGAGTCCTGAGAAGACGGAAAGCACTTTGAGGATCTTGGAGCACTGCATGCTGAGGGTCATTGAGGCCTTCCGCGAGTGGATAACACCGGCTCGCATTCCCGCAGAGCTGTGGCCGAAGGTGTATCCGAATTTCCCGAACACCACAGGTGCCCAAACGTTGCTGACTCGCGTGCTGGACGCACTGCTTCTGAATCAGGATCCGACCAACGAGGAGTTCAAACGGAATGCAAGCACTGTGCGGGAGCGCTGCAACGACCAGCAGCGTGAGCGCCTCGACTTTTTGCTCGCAGGCGTGGATGCTTGGCGTCGCGTCATCCACAGCAGCGATAAGACTACGCAGCTTTACAAAGACTGCCAGTTCCTCTTGCTGCTCTTACGAGCAGTGCACCTCCACCGCATCCTGAAGATTGGAGGCTTGATGTCGAAAGAAACCGTTGTTATTGTGCGTGCGATGGCGGTAGCCTTGCAGCGATGCAGGATTCACAGGAACGGCCAAGAAGGCTATGAAAGAGAAGCTGGAGACGGTGACGTGGCAGATCCTGCAGGTGGCCAGAAGTTGTGGGGGAGTGTCTGCGTTCATCTCCACGCACGAGGGTCGTGTGCGTGCCGTTGTTCGGTGATTCATTCCAGCATGTGCCAGGCCATTGACCCAAGCCTTCCGTCGAAGGAGAAGATCACCATCAAGATCGATGGGGCCTGGCGCGACTGTACGCAGTACGTGCGCTCAAGCTGTCATCCAGCAGGACAGGCTACGGACATTTCTTTCCTAATGAAGCGAAGGACGCTCAAAGCGGCATGGTGCTGCAGGAGATGCGATCCTGATGGCTGCCAACGGCAAGGATGTCACAACACATTTCAATGCATATCATGCACAGCGCACAAAGGCGCGGTCAGGGAGGCGGCTTAGGCGCAGGAGTTGGCCACCACTCGTCAATCTACTTTCCGTGTGCAGTCTGCAGCGTCGCATGGTATGCATCCAAGTCTGCATGTGCACACACGCATGAGGATTCGATGATCAAGCATTGTCCGGAAGTGCGGTTCAACGCCTGAGACGGATTTTGGCAGGTAGCTGCTGTCGTGCTGGAGAGATTAATAGCTCCATGCAGGCTAGTCGCAACCTGCGTGCATGCCGTAGGTATGTTATATTTAAAGTCTGTTTTGATAATTCAGCAAGGCTGACGGTTTGTTGTCGCCTGCCGTTGGGACATAAGCCAGCGGGAGGCAAGCAGCCGACCGGCTGGTGCAAGTAGAGAGAGACGTTGACTGAAGTGGCAGTTTTCGCAGCAAGCGAGCCAGCAACAGTACACCACATCGACGTCTAGACCTTGCTGACCTTGCTTGGCCTGGGAGGTTTCCGAGAGCCTCGCGTCCGGCACAGGCAGGACATGTCCGATCGCGGTAAGGGCCTGTCAGGGCTAAGATTTCAGATTCCTGTTCCCGCTCTTTTCCTAGTTGTCCTAGTTTTCCAATTGCCGTCTCGTTCGCTGTTGGTTGGTTGCGTTTCGTGCTCTTCTACTCTCTGCAACCAATCTCTCCTCAGGTTTTGATGACTATGCCGTCGGCGTCATCCTTTCTTGATACTGTAATTGAACCGTGTTCCTTTCTGTCGTAAAACATACATACTCGGCTGGCTAGTGAGCGTTGATTCCATTTGCTTTCCTCCTCACCGCAATTATCGCCACGCCGACGACGACGACGACCACCACGGCTATGCTGCCATCGCTTTCATCAACACCCCGACCTCCGCCTCCTCCACCTCCACAAGTGCAGCCACCAGCACCACTGCCGCCACCGTGACCACCGCCACCACCGCCACCACCCATGCCACCACCCCACGGGCCGCCACCACCACCAGCAGCAGCAGGAGCAGCACCAGCCTCAGCGCATCACCAGTCGGCTGTTTTGAGAGTTCTGGATGCTGTAAGAGCCTTGCTGTAGGGTTGCTACATGCAGCGCTCTGCTCGCTGGCTCGGCTCAGACAAGTTGAAGTTTTGGATGTCTGGTGGGGTACTCTTTGGCGAAATGGTCGAAGACTCGGTTGCTGGTGCGGAGCCTCGAACAGGCAGTGGACGCAACGCCAGCTGAGGCCGCACATGCAAGCAATGGTGCACCCCCCTCAGATCCATCACGCAGGGAACATGCAGGGTTAGCCTCATGATTCAACTTCTGCGGCGCGCCTGCTGGTTGGAGGTTTTTGGACCGCAAGCCGTGCATGCCTGTGCACGTGCAGAGTGAATTGGCTAGATGATGCTTCTGGAGAGCCAAGGCACCGCAGCCGCAGAACTTTGTCAACGGATGGCAGGGCTCCTGGGGCACTGATTGCAAAGTTCCAGCATTTGCCAGTGGGGATCGGGGATCGTAGAAGCGTATAGCTGCAGACCTTCCTAGCCAGCCAACCCTCGCACGACTTTTAGTTTGAGACATGGGATGAGGATGGTCGCCTTATTGTTAGGCGGGGGTCGGGACGAAAAGGGCCACGGCTCGGCTCTGGTTCTGGCTTGCTTACAGCAAGGGATCAGCACATGCCGCATCAGCGAAAGAAGCCCTCCATTGCCGCTTCCTCCCAGCGGCTCGAGGCCACATCCGGGGCTTCTCAGCGGAGCTGCTCTGCGGGAGGATCTGGCCGAGAGCTTTCGCCGAGGCAGACTCTATTCTGAGGATGATCTTAAGTTTTGTGCGCGGGCCGGTGGCAGGAGTGAACATGTCTGTCCAAGAGCATTCGCTGAACTACGGGAACCCCGTGCGGGCCGCAGACCATCGTAGGCGGACTGCAGTATACGGTATGTATCTTATAGCCTATACGAGTTGCGGTCGACTGATCCTGACATACAGACCAGGCGACCGGCTCCTACATGCTGGGGCATCCCAAGTTTCTCCAGGTGCAGAGACTGCTGCCTCAAGCAGCGGGCACTGTTGTTCGGTGGCACAGAATGCTATCCACCTGGTGCGAACGGGCACGAGGCCATGGCGACTTTCCTCAAGGCTCAGTACCATGAGTCCGCTCCTGAGTGGCACAAGTGTGCATTTGCTGAAGCACATCATAGAAGTCCTGCAGCCAGCTCCAGAGTCGCCACAGGCCCGTTGATCCAAAATCGTTGATGTCTACGGTGGGTGCATCCATGGGCCTGATCCTCGGCACGCCCGTCGACGGCAGGCGCTGTTTGCTTGTGTCGTACGGCTCCAGGCCTGGCATCATAGCGGATGTTGATAGTTCTACAGCGGTGTTCTCGTTTCGAACATAAACAGCTCCGACCTTCGTCCAGTTATGTCCAGTTCCATCCATGCCATCTGAAGCACTTGCGCAACAGAGAAAGTGCCATGCGCTCCGGCCTGCATTGCCCAGGGTGTCGTGTGCACACCCAGCTTGCGCAAGGCACCGACTTGTGCTTTCGTGCCTACGGCAAGGCGGGTCCATCTGCCTTCCTGGGTCCTTTCAGCAGTAGCCGGGCTAGCCAACCGCCTAAACCCTAAACCCTGAACCCTCTCTCTCTCTCTCGCACTGGTTTGGTCTCTTCTTCGCCGTCTCGTGTTTTTGGGCAGGCAGGCGACATCTGCGTCTTTGAGGACACCAAATCAAATCCAAGTGGTCGAGCGGAATGCGACTGTTTGTTTGCAAGGTCTTGCTTTACGGGTTCGGATCACTAAGAGCCCGGAGGTGTATGCTCCCCTTGTACTGTACCGTAGCATGTCCACCTCGCCAACCCAAACAGACAAAGCATGGTGCTCTGCCAGGGCATGGGTGGAGCATGCGACGTATTGCCTAAGTGGGCAGCATTCCTGAGCTCGAGATCAGAGCAGTGCTCCACCAGCCCATCAGTTGCATCTTCACCGCCGCCGACCCTCCAGAACTCCAGAATCCTTTGGGCGCTTGCGTGCGCTTGCATGCAGGAGCCCGGCTATTTTTTGTCCTTCCAGATGGCCCGGGATCAAGGCTTGGAGCTGTGGGAGAGCCCAGCTGGTGACACTCTGTGCACATCTGTGCCATGTGGTGCCGACACCGGACCCGACCGAGGAAAGGTGTGCCCATGTACGAGGATGGCATGGACCTGGATGCGTGCGCCGTCGCCAGGGCTAGTTCCGTTCAACCTGGATGAAACTCTCACTGAGGCTCGAGCAAGTGTGCAAGGAGTCGATGGGGAAGGTAAAGCTTGCAGCCGCCTCGGCCGGGTTCGCTGCGTGGCGCTTCTCGCAACACGCACAAGGCATGTCTGAGAGAGCTTCTGTTCCCTGCTTGTAAGGTGTACACGGTGTGTCGGCCTCGTCATTCTGAGCTGTGGCCAAGAAGGTATTTGCTTTTTGAAGCACTTGATGTCTGGTGTAGCTGAGGCCCGTGCATCACAACCCAACAGGCACTGATGATTTCCGATGCAGTGTGCGCTGTCGAGATGGGAGTCTGCCGCCACCATCCACGCAGCCCCACCAGCGCTCTGACAGATGCCCACCCGACCAGGAGGAGGGTATATTGTCAAATCAGGAGGGTGGGAAATTGAGGTGGTGATGACGAGCCAGACAAAAGGCTGCAGGATCTCAGCAGCGGTGCTCAACGCAACAGACCCGCCGCGCTTTCGACTGTTTGGGTGAGGCTGGGCCTCCGGAGGCCTGAGCGGGTTGGAAGTGGGTGGTGGGGCGTGGCGGAGCCACAAGTCGGAGACATCCTGGAGACATCCTCATGTCGCCAGCCTCCGATATGATTGTCACACGATTCACACGATGCCACTTGTCATGTGCTAACGTACTAGTTGCTAGAGCGGTGTTTCCTGCTGCAGGCTACATCACATCCAATGAGAAGCGTGTCAGACTATTGCAGCTTGCCAGGCCCTGCGCTTGAGCTTGCTCGGACAACTCAGTGAGGGGCATGCTCGGAAGACTCGAGAAGCTCAGGGACTACCAGTTCTTCGTGGTGGCGGATGAGACGTACCAGCTGCTCAACTTTCAGCCAACTGAGGCGCACCACTTAAAGCCAGTTCTTGACTGGAAGCTGGCTCGCTCTGAGCATGCTGATCCAAAAAACAACGACGAGGTGAAGCCGCTCTTCTACCACGACGATCCTGATGATCCGCCCCTTGCCAAGATGGCGTGAGGTCGAACTTGTTCACGGGCGGAACCAGAACCTTATCCCATTGCGGGCGGGATGCTTGCGAGTTGGGGAAAGCTATGGTTTCAAATTTCCACCGACTGTGTCTTGCGCCTGTCACTACACTGGGCAAGTTTCGGTAGCGGCGAAGCGAGCCAGTCAGAGCGCCTGAAGCTGTTGGTGAGGCGGGTGTTTTCCATCGGAACTTTCTCCAAGCTCATTGGCCCTGGCATCAAAGCATGGGGGCTCAGCACCGCGAAGAAGGATTACATGATAATACATGTAGCGCTTGCAGTCGTCTTTCGCCGTGTTTGCGGAGTCCTTGAGATCTTCGTGTCCTGCTGCAGAATGCTTGCTTGGGCCTCGTCGGGACGAAAGATGAGGTCGGCTGGGTTCAGGCCCACCCGAAGCTGCTGCAGTGCGGCCCTTGGGGGGGTTCTGAGCCACTGGCGTGCACGGATCCCAGTTCACTGCGCTGCCCTTGTCGACGAAGCTTGCGGTCATGTCCGGGCTTGTGTGGCTTGCTCTTGGCTTCCTGAGCGCTTAGCAGCGAGGCTGTAAGCTGTAACCGATGAATGTTTGGGATGTCAGCCTGAAGGGAGATCGAGCATGTCTCAGCCGTCTGAAGGCCCCTTGCCGGCCTCGGCTTCATTCGCAGCGGCACGGGCCTCGACCTCCGCGAGCCGCTCCGGAGTGTCGCTTGTGCGGTTTCAACGCTGGGCCCAAACGGAGATTCGAAACCAACGATTTCTCGCTCAAGCGGTCATTAGGTCTTCGATGCTGACCGAAGCTGTTTTGCGGGGCCGTGCTTCTCTTCGTCAGGGAACAACCCTGTGATCTTCTCGTCCATGAATCTGCTGCACTTCGTCGAGCGGGTGCCCCGGGTCGAGGGCTAGCGAGGTAGATTGGGCAGAGATCGCAGAACTCCCAGTGGACTAGTGCTCAGAGCCTGGAGAACTGAAGGTCTGGCGCTCTGGCAAGGCACATCGAAGTGGCCCGGCTCCTGCTGCATTTTGCTGCTGTTCACCGAAGAAATTGCAGTCCAAAGGCTCCGAAGCCATCTTGCCGAGGTCTCGAAAGACCTGGGCGAGAGGCATCGGGCTGAGATCAGCGGCACAGATGGGGTCGTCAGGCGAAGATCTGCGGTTCCGGAACTCTTGCAGAGCCGCAATCGCACGCAGCCGTCGCAGAGGTGCCAACTCATCTGCCGGAAGCTTCGTGAAGTTGGTCTCGAGGCCGGTGCTGTAATGCGTGCCTGCAAAGGCGCTGGGCCTTCCCGAGCCGTCGCGCTTGAGACAGGTTCACGAGCCCAAGGGCGGCTACTCTGTCTGGGCCGGCGGCTCTAGTTGGCAAGTGCGCCCAAGTGCGAATGCGGCACTGTAGAGGTGTGGCACCGTGCTGAGGTCAAGTCCAAGGGCAAGATGACGGGACGAGGTGCGGCTCGAGAGCGGCTTTGCCACTGGCATCAGAAGTCCGCTTGAGGTGGTCAGGACATGGCCGTGAAGGGTGACAAGTTCCACGACTACATGCGCCTCTGCTACGGCTTTGGCCCCGGCTCCGAGCATCACCGAGCCAAGCGACTTCTTGTCCTGGCGCATTTGAACGCAGGCTGGCTTTCGCCGGAGCAGCTGGAGGAGGGTATCGAGTGCGCACAGCAAGATGCACCGCTTCGCTAACCCTCCCCTTTCACAAATATGACGTTTCCTTCTCTTTTTGCAACGCTGAGCAACCCAAGCAAGAGCTGAATGTCATCACGTCCTTGGCTTGATTAGTCGGGTGTGTCTACGCACGAGGATTATACGTAAACAGAAGGATCGAGAAGGTATGCAGGAATCTGCAGGCGTCATGAAAATCTGCACCTGCATCATGCCCTCTATCAAGAAATGAATAGATACAAGATACCGACTACAAATAGCTATTGTACACAGATAAATATTATCAACAACAAGAATGAACAAAGTCTAGCAGCAATCACGGCGTAGGTAAGGCTTCCGGAATCGGTGGGGCCAGTGCTGCTTTTGGAGTTGGGGGGGGGGGCAGGTTCAGGCTGCAAATCTGAAGCTGTGCAGGCCCATTGCGCCGGCTGTGAGCCGTAGATTTGATGTACCAAGTCTACCGTGGGCACCGATTGACGTTTCGGACTGCATGTGTGGGAACGGCACCGGAATCTGTGGCAAACCTTCCAAAACTGTCATGCTACTCGACCGCAACTAATTGGAAGGCCAGTTGCGCAAAACTCCGTCGTATTTTCATGGGCCAGGTCCAAGATTGAGGACAGCTGGATTTGGCTTGGTCTTTTCCTGCGGGGTTTGTAGATGCACGTACAAGCAGAGCCTATCGGTTCAGATGAGTCTCCCACGAATCACTGGGGGGGCTCACATCTCAGGACATCTATGTCGCAGTCGCTCCAGATAGGAGCTTTCACCTAGCCTTCCCAGGCCATGCAATTGCTCGAAGGGGCTCAGGACCGCGCAAGTGCAGATTTCACTACTCAGTCTCATTCCACCTTGAGTTACCTCGATTTCTGAATCTATTGTCTTATGTGCACCGAAGGTCTTTT